TTCTACTTGGAAAAGTCAAGGACTTCTCCAAAGGTCAAGCCATGGCTTAAGAAGTCTTGGTGATAGTTTAGTTTTTATATGTATATTAGCTGGTTCCTAAAATGATTTTCTTGCATGCTTCCAAGAACTCCTAACTGTATTTATCTAAATGCCTATCAAGCATCCAAGGCCAAACAAAAAAACACCTGTCTCCTAGGTTAGGTGATAGCTTTATTTCTTGTGCAATTTAGGGTGAGACCCTCCTTTCTTATACAACCTTACTAATAGACCCCTAACTTCTTACCTAGCCACTTCTAGGAATGTAGACTGAGCACATGGACCCCCTTTTTGATGTACTAACTGGTCATTAGCACTCAGGTGACCTCCTCTTTTACCACCCCCATTTTGGGTTGTAAAAGAAAGCCTGGTGGTCACTGCCTGAGGAAAATTCTTACCTGCCTTTATGACCCCCATAAGAATTCAAACCTGGTGACCTTGCGAGGATTGCAATTGCTTGGGTTTATAACTGGATTGCAGAAAAACTTAGGGAGAACTGAGAGAATAAGGAGACAGAGAAGAATAAAGGGAATGGAAGAACTCGATGGGTAAGAACTTGAGAGGAGCAAACTGAGATGGGGAAGAACTAGATTGAAGGGCCAGAAGAGAGGACTAGAGGGACGAGATGGAAGATGAGGAAGAGCCAGATGGGGAAGAACAGGATGAGGAAGAACAAGATGAGAGAGAAGGAGATGGGAGAGGAGCTAAGACAGGAAAGAACTAGATGGATGAGAACATAGATGGGGCAGAACTAGATGAAAAAATTAAGATAGAACTTAGAGGGGACAGCAGATAAATGTAGAGAGAAATCAGGCAAGAAAGGAGCTAGGCACAAGAACAGAATAGAAGCTTGTAGAGAGAGAACTGACACAGAATAATAAAGTGTATGAACTAAGGAGTTTCGTGTACATAGATTCATTTCTTTTCATCAGATTGATTATCAGCTGGTTGTAGATTCTTCCTGGACCCTGGGAGGGGACTATTGAGGGGCTGGACCCCCATATGCCACCACTGCCTGGCTTACCTTTTCAAATTTTTAAGGAATTAATTTTTAAATGGGAAGGAGCAGCAAGATGGCCCACTGGGTAAATGTACTTGATGCCAAACTTGCCGACCTCAGTTCAATACCGAGGACCCACATTTTGTTTTGAGACAGGGTCTCATCTCACTGTGTAGTCCTGGTTGGTCTGGAACTTGCTGTGTAGACCAGGTTTGGCCTTGGATTCACAGAGATTCACTTGCCTCTACCTCCTGAGTGCTGGGGTTGAAAGTGTGTGTGCCATCATGCCCATCACAATTTTTTTAAGGAAACTTTTAAAAAGTCCGGTTTGGGTAAGTGGTGAAGTGGTCATAGGCGAAACAGGACTGTGTAAGACAAGTGAAGGAGGAAGAGGAAAACAGACAGCATGGCGCTGTGGAGACAGACTGGCCCTGCAGAGGAGGGGGCGCATCAGCCTAAACTTCGTGTGGTGGGGGAGCTACCACAAAACCTGAGCTTACATCCCTCATGCTCAGGAAGTCTTTTCAAGGAACTCTGTCAGCTCATTCACAGACCACAAGATTAACATTCTGAGGGACTGTGGATGCAGCTCAGGGACTGGTACTTGCCTGGGATGCATGAGGCCCTGAGACTGACCCCAACACTGTGAAGGGGGAAAGGCTGATTTGTTTTAAGTACATAAAAGTCAACATTTGTATTTTCTATAAAATATTTTTGTTTTGTAGATAAAGCTCTTCCTTTTCTTTCTTTTTCTGGAACAGGACCTCCTGTGGCCCAAGCTGGCTTTGCACTTGTTTTGTGACCAAGGATGACCTTCTTTGTCTGATGTCACATCACCTTAACTGCATTCGACACTAACTTGTTACTTCTAGGAGAAACACAGAAAATAATAATAATAAATAATAATACAGTACTTGCAAGATGAATTTTTCTTGGGGAGGATTTCCTTATGACAAACCTTTGTTTTTGAGAGTCTGTTGTGTTAAGCTGGGTGTGATGCCACTCAACAGTGATCCCAGCCTTTGGGAGGAGGAGGAAGAAGAAGGACTACGAAATTCAAGGTCATCCGCGGGTACAAAGCAAGACTGAGGCCAGCCTGGACTCGTGAGACCTGTCTCAAAGAACAAAGAGCCTGCTCTGTGCTCTAAGCGTTGATGACATAGAAATGACAGAAAAGGTCCGTGCTCACACAGAACCCAGACAGGGAAAACAGAAAATGAGCACACGAATGAACAGTTGATTTCAGACGGAAGTGTGAGAGAAGACAGCAAAGAACACCACCCTGGAACAAGAAGGCCCCAGCTGAAGGTAGGGGTGAGAGGGAACTGGACTGCACAGTCTGGCTGAGAAGGGGCTTCTCAGAGGAGGGAAAGTTTCATCTGAAGTGATCACAGTGAGCCAGCCACAAAAACCCACCCAAATAGGCAGCTGATGTCATCAACCCTCTCACTGTCCAATGAGACAGAATTATGTGTTGAGTGACGTGGCTGGATGTGCTGTGGGTGATTACTGAAAATAACGTTTTCAGTCTTTGGAACTGGGAAACCTGATTCTAAAAGCAATATCCGAGATGACTAAACAGTGGCTCCATCAGAAAACATACGGCACTGCGAAGGTGGGGGCCCTGAAAGAGAAGGAAAACAGGATGGGGGCCAGCAAGATGGCTCAAATCCATGCCTTACCCCTGCACAGTGAGTGCTAGTACTACAGGCATGTGTTAAGTGGTATGTGACCATTTGATACCAATACAAACAACTCAGTTCAGACAAAAAAAGCTTTCTAAATTCCTATATTTGTTGTTTGAATAAGAATGGCCCCCGGAGGCTCATATATTTGGTTACCAGGGAGTGGCACTATTTGAATGGATTAGAAGGATTAATAGGTGTGACCTTGTTGGAGGATGTGTGTCTCTGGGGGTGGGCCTTGAGGTTTCAAAAGCCCATGCCAAACCCAAAGTCTCTCTCTGCCTATGGATCAAAACATAGCTCTCGGCCACTGCTCCAGCACCTGCCTGCACGCAGCCATACTCCCCACCATGATGATAGAGAACCAAACCTCTGAAACTATAAGCAAGCCTCAGTTAAATACTTTCTCTTGTGAGAGTTGCCGTGGTCGTGGTGTTTCCTCATAGCACTAGAACAGTGTATAAGACAGAACTTGGTACCAGAAGTGGGGTATTGCTGTCCCAGGACTGACCATGCTGTTTGTTCTAGGAATAAGAGGACTTTGGGACTTTGCACTAGAAAAGCGCTTGAACACTTTAGGTGGGGCTTATTGGACCATCCTAGTGGGAGCAGGGAAGACAGTGGTGCTGAGAGAAATGCAGATTATGCTGGCCCAGCTCAAGAGGTTTCAGAGGGGAAGAATATTAGTAATTGGCTTTCTGCCCTTGTCCAAAAAAAATCTGCCTGAGGTTAAACTGGAATGTTTTGGATTAATGGCATTGGCAGAGGAGATTTCAAGACACCCTAGTATTGACCATGTCATGTGGTTACTAGTGGTTACTCTTATGCAGATCAATAATGAAAAGGAGCAAGCTGGACAAAGAAAAAAAGAAAATGCAGTTTGAGAAAAGGAGCACCAAGGAGTGTAATGGCACAAAGAGACAAAAAGTTTAAAGAAAAACCTGATGCTAAATGCAATAAAGGGAGTGGTGACCTCAGAGAAAGACCCCCACCCAGCTAAGCCTCCAACTTGTGAAAGGAATTAAAGAAGAGCTTAAGTAGTGAAAGAAACCATGGACAGCAAAATGCTGGTACAAAGGTAACTGAATGAGGGGTCCAGGTCCCAGCCCCAGCAAGCAGCAGTACTTACTTGGCAGCTTCAGCCATGTGGCTCTGGCTTTAGAGTCACGAATACAGGGAAGGGGTCATGGAATTCTCCTCTGTGACTAAGAAAAGCAGCTGAGGCCAGTTTATGTGTCGGGGTGTCCCTGCATGGAGGCCTAGTGAGGCCATTGCATGAAGTTATGACGGTGAAGCATGGATTGCCTTGGAGACCCCAAGATGTTGGGTTGCCAGGGTTACCCGGGAAGGCAAGCTGCTAACAGGGTATGAAACCAGCCGAAGAGAGAGAAGTGTGTTGCAGTCAACATAGCTGAAAGGCATTGGAGATCTGAAGAATGCTTGACATTTGACATGGAGTTGCAGAGTTTGGAGTTTGCCCAGTTGGTTTCGAGTCTTGCTTTGGTTCAGTATTTCCTCTTTTTGGTTCAGTATTTTGGAATGTGATGTATATTCTGTGCCACTGTATGTTGGAAGCATGTGCTTTGCTTTTTGCTTTTGCTTTTCTATGGGGTTACAGTTAAGAGATTGCCTTGAGTCTCAGAAGAGACTTTGGACTTTGAAACAGTCTTAAGACTGAAACACTAGGGGACTCTTGAAGTTGGACTGAATGCATTTTCACATTATAATATAGCTACAAGCCTATGGTGGATAGGAAGTGGAATGTGGTGCTTCCTGGCATGATAATGCACTAAGCTCTGAAACTGTAAGCAAGCCCCCAGGTACATATTTTGTCTTATAACAGTTGCCATGGACATGGTGTCTCTTCACAGCAATAGAATAGTGATTAAGACAATACTGGTATGAATAAGCATAATATTCAAGTCTGAAATGGGATAACAGAGTCAGCTTGAGAACTTGTTTTCACTACTGATACTTCTCTGGCTGAGATGGTTCAAACCCACACTCATCTTTTCTAATATCAGCACTGAGGACAGACAAGGGGCTTTACAGACAGACAAGGGTCAGTCCACGGCAGGTTTCATGTGGACAGGGGAAAATACAGTGTATCCATACAGGAAATTAGTATCATCTGGGAGGTCACAGAACCACCTGTTTGTGACACAAAGACAGCTAGAGTTAATCTAGGGGCAGAAGGTTTGGACTGGACCTGGATACAAAGAAAAGGGTCAGTGACTCCAGTCAGAACCAGAAAGTATAGGCAGGGCAAGGGACAGAGGCATGCTTCCAGATGGACCCGTTTTATTTCCAAACAAGATTCCAAACATAAATAAACTTTCCCAGTTCCATAATGGATTTTCAGTCCATAAAATGTATTTGTTCCTAAAACTTTTCATAAAATCTGCCTTCCCCTTTGCAGAGGGAAATTGGCAAAAAGTCAAAAGTTAAAAGGTCTTGCACAAAACATTCCATTCACCATCATTGTGCAAGTCTTCCAGTGCTCACAAATGAACATGAAAACACCAAGATAAATCGTACTTCATTACACTCTGCAGCACCTCGAGATTTCCTTCATTTGTTAATGTTCTGATTTCAAAGATCTTAGTATTCCAAAGTGTAACCTTTTCATAAAACAGGAGAACAAAACCAAGCTATCTTATACTGAAAAGAGATCAGCTTGTGGAGCACAACATACTTGTAAGAATAAAACCCCAGGTAGTCCATCAGATACAGTGGGTGGTCCCTTTGTCCTTCATTCCCTTTTCATCTTTGAGAGCTCTTCAGACATCTGCCAACACTTATTGTGTGATTTCTGCAGGATTTGGCTCATAGTTTGGGTAGGAAATGCCATTTTAAGAAACTCTGTGAACATATCACATTTTCCTCTTTCTTACAGGTAAAGTCAAAATATATTTCACACTTTTAAATGATGTAGAAGAAAACAGTAATAGCTCAGGGGTAAAGCACTTGCCAAGCATGTAAGGCCCTGGGTTCCGTGCCCAGCACCTTGAGAAGATGGCTATCACTCAAATAATAACTAAAATCTCAGGTTTCAAAAACACCCTGTGATTTCCCCCCATAACCTCAGTTAAAGATGGGCATCAATTTATATCCTAAATACAAACCATAGTAACCCTGTGGAGGCATTAATGCTATGTAGCCAATTTTTAAAAATCTGTTTTGTAAGTAAAATCAGTGTTTAGAGATGAGTATGTTGGCATATTCAGAATATGACCTATCAAAAATTACCGTAGAAAAGACTGATGTTAGAAGTGATCTCAAAGATCAGGCAACTCTGCTCTCAGATTTTAGACAAAAGAAACCAGTGACAGTAACTTGAGCAAATTCAGCAAGGTCGTCTATACGACCTTTTCATACACACACAGAACACACAAATGCACACACACTGTTACATTTGTTTTACTATAAAGATGCCAGTAGCTTTGACGATAATTGAGAAGTCAGTGTGGAAGTTTCCATTTGTGATCTCGTTGCTGGAAACAGGAAACATCCATTCCTCATGGAGTGGAAAGGCTCTCTTTTCATGATGCACTGGATCATGACTTGGTTGGGTGTTCTCTGTACAGTCCCTAACTGTAACATGGATTGCGAGCAGAAGCTGGGTTGACAGGAAGCAGGGTGTTCAACTTAGATCTAACCTGGGATCCCTTACTCTGCCCAAGATGTGCACACTGGCAGTGAAGACTGTTTCGAAGGCAAGGCTGGGCAGTTGGAACTCCTAGACCTAACTGCAGAAACTCAGGAGGGGGCAGTGCGGCGTCTGCCCTTCACCTGAAGGGACTCCCAAGAGGGTTCCCTTGACCATCATGGGCAGAGAGAAGCATGTGTGTCTGTCTTATCTAAGCAATTAAATCACAAGTTGGGTATCCCTCATCTGAAAAGCTTGGGGCTAGAGTGTTTCCAGAGTTTTAATTTTTTTAGACTGTGGGATATTTGCATATATATAAAACAAAATATCTTGAGAATGGGACCCAAATCTCACTGAGACATTCATTTGTGCTTTTTATACACCTTATCTGCATAGCCTGAGGGTAACTTCACACAATAGGTTTAATCATTTTTATACACAAAATAAACTTCCATGGTCTGGAATTTTCCATTTGTGCCATCAGACCAGACTCAAAATTCTGGATTTTGGGATAGTTCAGATTTTGGATTAGGATGGTCAGCCAGCATTACTTGGATGTCTATACTAGGTAAAAAGTTTCTAATTATTTTAATTTACATATACACATAAATATCGAAGTATTTGATCCTTACTACTATTACTGTCTAGCTCCTCACAAAATTACATGTGGATATAACTCTATGGTAGTTTTCTTTTAAAAAATACCTTTTATCTTAAATTTTTTATAATAGATGTCTTTCAGAAAAATCCTGTTTAGCTATATATATTAACATTAAATAACTTAAAAAATAAACAATACACTATACCAAAATTGTCTAATTTTTAGCTAAAAGTGAAAAATTGAGTTTTCAAGAATGGACTAGCCCTTCTTCCAAAAATGGACTAGACCTTCTAAAGATACTTCTCATAATTTTAAGGTATTATTAAGCATAATTTATTTCCTCACTATCCCAAATATATACACACCAGTCTTAGTAATTTATGCCAGGAGTATTCCTAAGTAACAATAGGCTGTTTCATTTTTCTATCTTTACTTATTTCATAGTATGAAACTTACTCTACATTTAAATAAGTTTGTTTACAAAAGATGTTCCCAGGGAAATATTAGAACATGCAGCCTCTCATTTTCTTAGAATAGGAGTAGAAAGTAACTTTCAAGTCTTCTTTTAGCCCACCCTTATTTACAGCATCTTGCTCATAAAATCAACACTCTTAGGGAAGAAAAGCTTTTGAGAAGAAGTCTGTTTTGCTAGAAATCCTGTCAAAATTCCCACAGTAAACACAACCACTGTTGGAGGCAGAGGACATGCAGTCCCCGGTGCTGGCCTCAGAGTGTCCCCTAGACCCTGCTCTGCATGCCAAGTCAAGTGAGGGAACTGAAGAAAAGCCCACGTTTTTCAGTTCCTCAGAAGTTACTACCTCACCCACTGCTGGAAAGACTTCTTGTGGAAAGAATACAATAGAGGCCGGACCTAGGGCTACTTCTAGCTCCTCAAATTGTGACCATTCATACCACGTGGGCTACAAGAAAGAACAGAGGAAATGGCCCACTGGGGGCACCAAGTTCAGATGTTTTTAAACTAGTCAGTTAGAATCACTTTCAAAATGTAGATTATCAGGTCTGCAGGGTACAGATTCCAATATTCATGAGAAACAGGAGAAAGGCTCGGATGATTGAAAAGAGCGGGTCTTTCCAAAGCAAACGGAGGCGGTCAAGAGCTTCGTGCACGTGTGGAGTCCACTCTGTCACAGGTTCTCATCCAGCCATTTGATGTAACTATTCCTAGTCCGGATTCCCACGGAGAAGTTGGTCGGCCAGCTTGTGAAAATCATACACCCATGAAAGCCATCCTCAAAGTGGTCCAAGGTCACATTCACGCCCGCACTCTCCAAGCGCTTGGCATACATGATGCCGTCATCCCGCAGGACGTCATGCTCGCAGGTGAGGATGTAGGTCTTGGGGAGCGCCTGAAGCACTTCCTGCTCTGCGATGAGCGGGGAAGAAGCAGCATCCAGCAGTTGAGGGATCTCCTGGACGATCCTGGCGTCACCTGTGGTCTGCATGACAGGCTTGTAGCTCTTTTTGATGGATGAGGGTAACAGGGACGTCCAGTTGAGACGGGCCCTGAGGGCTGCGGCCCCTTCCACATCCAGCGAAGTGTGATTGTTCACAATCATCCCCTGCACAAAGTCATAGTTGCCTTTGAAGTAGTCCAGCCAGTACTTCACCATGACATGGCGCGGCAGGATTGGAGTGTTCATGTTCTGCTGGTAAGAGGGTGTGTTGAAATCCAAAGCCTGGAGGACTGGGTAGATTAAAGCCTGCAGTTTGAGCTTATTTTTTAGGTTGGCCACATATGTAAACTAGAATAGAAAAAAAAAATTTCATTTGCATAGATCCTTTTATAGAAAGCAGTTTATAGAGTGTTTTAAATAAATGAGTGGGTTCTTTTAGAATTAAATAAAGCATTCCACATCACCATGCCCTGCCAAACCGCTGGACAATCCCTAAGGAAGGTATACTGCTTGTGACTCATAGTTCAGAATGAATTCCCTGTTACGTGGCCCCTGAGGCCTCTAACCCCCCTACTTGTGTCTGTCTATCTTCTGGTACCTCTATGCCTTGGTGCGTATATGTATGAGTGAACTGTGAGCCTTACTTAACTTCTTACTCCCTACAAGATGACAAGTGGATTAGGGGAAGAAACACAAGTCCTCCTCTTTCAGAGAAGGACAGACAGTGACGCAGGGACAGCAGGACTCCAGGACTCCAGGTGCTCGGTGACGAGCTGCCGGTCTCCATGCTGGAACAGTGAGTTCATACAGGCAAGCACGGAGCACATGCCCGAGTGAGCGAGCTTGAAGTGGAAGGGATGCATCCGACTTCCCATCCCAGCAACCTCAGCTCGCCTGCGACTCTCCACATGAGAACTGTGTGCACCTGGTCGGTAAGATGCACGTGAGAACTGTGTGCACGTGGTCGGTAAGATGCACGTGAGAACTGTGTGCACGTGGTCGGTAAGATGCACGTGAGAACTGTGTGCACGTGGTCGGGAGTGGTGGTACAGGCCTGTAATCTCAACACTTGGGAGGTAGAGGCAGAAAGACATCCTAAATTACATAGAAAATTTGAGACTAACCAGTATAACTAAAATCATACTCTATCTCAAAAAAGAAAAAAAAACCAAACAATAATAATAATACATAAAACTTTGGAAAACATTAGCATTTTAATTTCTCTTAAAACTCTAAGAAAATAACCATAGGAACTGAAATTTAAGCCAAAATATCCATTTTGCAAGTCACACAGTAGCAGGTAGGTAGGGCTATTTCATGTCCACGCATCTTCACGAGCCCAATCAGAGACACTCCTCAGTGCCCACTTCCAAAAGCCTTGTGAGAAATCTCCCAGGGCAGTCACATGAGGGCGCTAGCCACATGGTGAGCAGCGAGAGTCAACAGGCACACTCACCCCTCCCTCACCCTGCGGTGGGTCACCAGCAGCGCCCCGAGGCAGGGCTGTTACCTGCTGTCCAAGGGAAGCCGCCAACAGGCACGCTCACCCCTCCCTCGCCCTGCGGTGGGTCACCAGCGCCCCGAGGCAGGGCTGTTACCTGCTGTCCAAGCGCGGCCGCCAAGTTCCCGCCAGCACCCCGAGGCAGGGCTGTTACCTGCTGTCCAAGGGCGGCCGCCAAGTTCCCGCCAGCGCTGTCTCCAGAGACACCGACTCTCCCAGGGTCCACCTTGTACTTGTCTAAGACTTCTGGCTGCAGGAAGTATCTTGTGGCACGGATGACGTCGTAAATTTGCTCAGGAAAGTAGACCTGTGGAACGAGCCTGTATCTGAGAAGACAAAAGCAGTGTGCATTTTGGGATGTAGCCACGCTTTGAAGGTCACTCAACATTTACAGAGAAAAATGGAATTTTCAAAATCCAGAAATAGACAAGAAAGCAAAATAAATATAAAATAAAAAAAATCATTTATTTTCTCATAAAGCAGGTGGAGTTAGCAGCCTGGTACTAACAAGAGTCCTTAAAATATGCTCAAGCTGGCCGCTCCTGGTTAGATTCAGCTGTTAACTTGGCACAGCCGAGTTATCTGAGGGAGTCTCAATTGGGGATTGCCTCCATCAGATTGGCCTGTGAGCGCCTCCACATCTGTGGGGATTTTCATGCTTGTTGACGTATGTGAGAAGGTCCAGCACACTGTGGGTGTTGCCACCCTGGGCAGTTGTTAGGAGAGCAAGCTGAGCACTATCCAGAGAGAGCAAGACCCTAAGCAGCATGGTCTGTGGCTTCTGCTTCATTTCCTCCCCAGGTCTCCACCCTGACTGGAACCAGGATGTGTGAGCCAGATAACCTGCCCCCATGTTGTTTTTAGTCATGTTTTATCACAGCAGCAGCATACACTAGGGCGCCTGCCATGGTGGGTAGACACCTGGAATCCAGGGAGGCTGATGCAGGAGGATTGGGAGTTTGATGGGGGGGGGGGGGGGGGGCGGGGCGCGGGTGTGTGTGTGTGTGTGTGTGTGTGTGTGTGTGTGTGTGTGTGTGTGTGTGTGGTGTGGTGTCTCTGTGACCACAAAGGTCAGCAGAGTGTCGAACTGTGTGAGGCAAGAAGGAAGTCTCATTCAACACGACTCAGTAGCTGTTGCTGGTTCAAACTCCAAGAGCAGCTTATTTTAGGCATATTTAAGTACAGCACAATTTGGAAAAAAGCTTCCTGGTGATAATTAACTCAATACCATGTGCACAATAAAGCTTAAGGGATGACTGTATTGAAACTGTGTAACTACTTAAAGCACATGTGACCTCTTCCATGAAGATGGGGTCTATAGATTGACTTCGGGCAACACGTTAAGGGCCTGGAAGAGGACGTGGTGTGGTCTCAGTCATACAGATTGAACAAAGCTCACCAGGCTAGGAACTACATTCATTCTCAGCCTTTTGGGAGGAAATCAGGTTATGTATCTCCTTTGAAGAGACAGCCCTGTGTGTCTAACATTCCCGGTTCTCCTAGTACCTGTCTGTAAACACAAGGACCTCTGTGGCCCCTACAGGTTGAGGCCAGCCTGAGTTACACAGCAAGACCCTGTCTCAAAAACAAGCAAAACAAAACAAAAACAGCTTTGGACATCAAACTTACCACCTGTTGTAATGTCGGTTGCTCCTCATTAAGACAGGGTGCCTCCATAATGAATTTGGGGGGTATTTATGGAGGTCTACATACCACTCATGGCAGCTCCAGGTTAAACACTAACTAAACAGCATTAACCAATCACTAGCCTAACATTTACCACAACTCTTTTGATAAACACAATAAATAAATACGTCTGTCTTTACTGAAGAGGTCTATGCCAGCCTGCCATTAAACCCAAGGAACGCATGTACTTGCTGGAACACTGGTAAAATGTCATTTTTAACCGGAAAAGGAAAGCTTTGTTAGCACAGAGCATCATCCGGACCCTCTGGGACATTTCTGGTGCTCCTCCAAGGGCACACTTTGCAAGGGCAGAGCTGTTCTTCGTCTTATTCTGTAAAACGTGTCAGGACCCTGATCTTGACAAGGGCCACGCGCAACATCGATACCGTGTGTATCTACAGTTCAGTCTTCACACCTGTCAGTCTCCAGCCCCTCCTGTGCTGATTCTCCTTATCCTCTGAGCCTTAACTGGGACGTTTGACTGTAATTCCACTTGCTTCCGGGGCCACTCAAGCAGTGCCTTGGGCTGGGCACATTGTGATCTCAACCACTGAGGAGGCTGAAGCAGAATCCCACGGAGAGTTCAAGTCCAGCCTGGGAGACTCGGGGAGACCTTGTCATGAAATAAAAATAGAAACAAGGCCTGGGAATACAGTCCTACTAACATGCACTGCTCCTCCACGGACATGAGTGGGGTTACACCACTTATTCCACTAGGTGGCGACATCTCTCAAGGTTGTATTTATCCCTGCTCTTCCATGTAATTTCTGATTTGAAAAACAAAAACCAAAAAACAAAAAAGAGATGCACTTCGGGAGTCAAGACATGAAAATAATGTGGTGGGTTTTTATTCCATTCCATAGCCATCTTAGTTAGTTAGGGTTTCTATCTGTTGCAGTGACAAAACACCATGATCAACAAGCAAGTTGGGGAGGAAAGTGTTTACTCAATCAGGGCAGGACCCTGGAGGCAGGAGCTGATGCAGAGGCCATGGAGGGGAGCTGCTTACTGGCTTGCTCCACATGGCTTGTTCAGTCTGCTTTTTTATAGAACCCAGGACCACCAGCCCAGGGATGGCACCCCTCAATGGGCTGGGTCCTCCCCCATCGATCACTAATTAAGAAAATGCCTTCCAGTTGCGTCTTAAGGAGGCATTTCTCAACTAAGGTTCCCTCCTTTCAGATGACTGTACTTTGTCGGGCTGACATAAGACCAGTCTGCACGGTCACTGTATCATGATAAACAGTATTGCTAGTTGCACAGGAGGTCAGCACACACCAGATATACACATGCATTAGCTGAGTTTCCAGCACTGTTTTATAAGAGTCTCAGAGTCTTTGGATGGCAAGAAATACAATCTGGGAAAACTGGTGCCTATTGATTAATCCTGTCAGTTAATAACTTGCTGAGCTAACATGGCAAGCAATCCTGAAAACAAGCAGATCATCAAGCTAACATCTATGGCACCATTGAAGATCCATAGTCTAGTACAGCCCGGTGGTACTGGCCTGTGATCCTACTACCAGAGGCCAGGGGAGGAAGACTGAAAGATCAAGAATGGGCTATAAAGTGACCAAGACCAGACTGGGCAACTTATTAAAACCCCCTTTCAGTGGAAGAGCAGTCACCTAGCATGTGTGGGACTAAATCACCAGTCCCCTGTCCCCACACAAGTCCATACTCTAGCCTCTCATTTGATCTCTGTGAATCTTTTTCTTAAAGACAAGGGCTCACTGTGTAGCTCTGGGTGGCCTGGAACTCACAGAGATCACTGCCTATCTATCTCTGCCCCCCAAGCACTGGGATCAAGTGTGGACCATCATGCCTGGGCATCGTTGCTCAAGCTGAAAGCATCCATTAGTTTTACCCAGTAAGAAAAGATACTACTTTTATAGACCAGAGAAAGAATATACTGAAAGCAGTGTTACTTTGGTCAGTTCCAAGTAGCTAAAATTTACCTGAGAAATTAAACAAAGTTGAGAATGCATTTATAGACATGGAAAACTTACAGAACCAGGAGGAAACTCATGGGTAGTTTATCTAAAGAAAGGAGACAGCCTGGCCTAGTGGCAGACTAATAACACCACCTACTTGGGACTGGAGTGAGTCCCAAGAGTGAGTTCAAAGCCAACTTGGGTAATTGCGGAAGATCCTATCTCAAGATATAAAATAGAATAAAAGCCTGGCTATACAGCTCAGTGGTATATGTGGGAGACCCAAGAGAGGTAGGGAAGGATGGAGGGAGAGAAGTGCCTGCTGCCTGCAGCTCAAGCTCCCAATTATGTCCCTGGAAAGTACCAGAAAAGTAGTTTTACATTATAGATAAAAGGCCCGGAATTAACACAGTCAATACACACACCATTACACTGAAATTAACCAGACCAGAAGTCCAGACATCTAGCCTTTCTGAATTCACATTTAATTTACACTTTCAGTATTAAGTATACTTTTATGCACTTACCTACCACCAAAATGAAAAAAAAAAGTCCATGACAGTTACAACTAGGAAAATAATTAGCCTTTATACCCTCTTTATGACTCCTGTCCATCACCCGCACTCGGTGCTTCTTCACCTCTTATATTTATCCTTTCTTACTCTCTTTTCTACATATTTTACTCTCCCCGCACTCTACATTTGGTTACACATTTACATATGTTATTGGCTAGTTCTCCCCCCTCTCTGCACCCTCCCCCTTTTGGAGACAAGGTTTCATGTAACCCAGACAAACTGGTATTAAATTTGCTAAGACTGACTGGGAACTCCTGATTTTACTGAGATTATGGGCGTGCATGCCTCTGTGTGTGTGTGTGTGTGTGTGTGTGTGTGTGTGTGTGTGTGTGTGTGTGTTTGAGCGTGTATTACTGAGTAATACACCCCATTCTAAAATACATCTGCAGTCTTCCAGGGACACAGCATTGAAACTTCATATTACCCCATTTAAGCAGTAAATCCTCAAACTAGGTTTTTGGTATCTCAGAACATTTGTCATGATTTTGGTGGATTAGCAATATTTCCAGTACAAAATTACTACCCATTAACAATATTCTTTTCCTTGTCAGGAGAGGGGCACACACCTGTGATCTTAGCACTCAGGCTATAGAGGCAAGAAGATCAGAAATTCAAGGTCACCCTTAGCTACGAACATGAGCTGCATGTCATAAACAAACAAAAATCCTTACCCAATAAAACCTATTATCTTCCTCACCAGATGTGGTACTCTGCACACATGTAACCCCAGCACTGTGGTTATCTGCACACATATGTAATTCCAGTACCAAGGAGACTCGGGAGGAGGAATGCCAAAACCAGCCGAGCTCCGTAACGAGTACAGGTCAGCCAGAGCTATATATGAGGACAGTGTCTCAAAACACAAACAAACAAAAGCCCAAACATGATAAATACATCACACACACACACACACACACACACACACACACACACACACACACACACACTTTCCTTCTAAATTCTGCCTGCACTTCACCTAATTCTATTTTTTAAAAACACTGAGGTGTGAGCCCTGCCCCCAAATTCCAATTTCATTGCTGTGGGCAGAAACCCTGCATCTATCTTGGAGATAAATCCCCAAGAAATCCCAGTGTTGCACCAGGCCAGAAACACCAGAACCCCAATCACATG